TTTAATTTAAAACACATAAAAAAACTTACCCTAAAGCCCAATTATGAATAGGTAAAATAAATGCTAATCAAACTCCCCCACATTTGAACTATTGTTTGTTCTCAAGCAATTTAAGAATTACAAACTATCATAATAGTTCAAATATATCCCTTTATGTTCATGTATTTTTCAAATTCATTACCTCAATAACAAAGTAAACCACCATTATATAATCATTTATTCCACCACAAATACTTATTATACCAAGTAAAGAAGAAATAACTATATCAAGAATTTAGACTTGTCCAACTCATTTTCTTCCCTCAACTCAATTTCATTTTTAAGTAACTCATAGGGTCAAGTCAAGGCATATAACTTCCATGATCATTTTTATTATTTAAAAGAAGGATTTATTGAATACACAATAAATAACTTTCTCAAGTAATGAAGATGTCTTTTGATGTGAAGATCGACATTGGTAGATGAAAACTTCTGATTACTCAACCTTATCACTAACTAGAGCTGCTTTGCATACTCATAATTCAAGAGCCGTTTTACGCAAAAATCGACATTTGTAAATGAAAACTCCCGATTACTAAATTTCAAGAATCATTGGAGTAAACATTTATTTAATTTTTTCTTTTTTTCTCACTTTTTCTTTATTTTTTGTCTTGGAACTTCCCTCATATATAATGATTATAGAAAAAGTAATGCAATTATTGACCATATTCATCATTCAAATTGTGAAATTCAATCAAAATAGGAAACTTATTAAACATGCAAAATTCAAAATATAATTACGTCCACTTTACAAGATATACTTTCTTTATAGCAAAATTCTAGTCATATACGAGCTATTTCCAAGTTAAATAAGGAATGCGATTCTTAAGACACATCAATTTTCAAAGGGAGAATTTGACTACTAATGGTCATGGAACTTCTTTGAAAATTTGATAAAATTTTGAAAAATTTTTAACCATTTTCTCTCAAAGCACCACAATTAAGAAAGTAATAAACCTTTTTCCCACACTTAAAATGCACATTGTTCTCAATATATGAAAAGAAAAAATAAGAGTAAAAGAAATACTCCCTCTATAGTGAATTGGCCTCTTGTTTCCAATCTTTTGTGACTTCATATTTCTTCAATTCGAACCATTCCCTACATAAATGAAAGTCAAAGAGTGCAAAAGTTCCATATAATAACTATTAGTAATAGAGATTTATAATGCAAAATGGCAAACAAATTAGTTAAGGTTTAAATTATGCAAAAGTTACAAACTTGGAGTGTGTGGTTAAGAAAGGCAATGAGAAAGGAGGAACAAGCATTTTTTTTTTAGCAGAAAATGGGTTGATCCACGAGATGCAGGGATACCTCGTGGATCGCCTCGCAGATCTCTAAATTTTTCTACTAAATTGTAGATTTTTGTATTTTTTTTTCACTGTTCACTCCAATTCCAACTTTCGCAGAAACATGAATTTGATCATTTTTTTCACAATATGTAAAGTCTCAAACAAGTTTAAAATGATCTAAACATCCAATCTAACCCTTCATAATGAATCAAAAATCTCTAAAATGTAAAATGAGAGGTTGAGTTCTTCATGTTTTGTGTTTCTTGCCAACCTTCAAAAAGTCGCTTTTGCATCAACTTTTTGGAATTTACAAAATAAGTATAACAAACACTACTTAATACATCTAATAAACATGAAAACACACTAAACAAAAGAAATGATTTAAATATTGGATTGCCTCCGTACTATATTGCCACCTCAATAAAACTTTTATATAGATCTCATTGCATCCTTCGTAATATACTGGATAAAAAATATTCAAATGCAGATATAGAAAGAAAGGAAATGAAGACAAGAATGAGTAAAAGTGGACAAAAATTGATCCCACCAATGTGGTATCACCAAGTCATGAGAGCAAAACTGTAGAGGAATCCCTCTCTCTCTCTGTAAGACTGCGACTCATATGAGGATAAGTACTCTCTCTGTCTCTCTCCCTCCCTCTCTCTCTCCCCCAAATAGAATTGAAAATAAAAATCACACTAGAAAAAGAAATCAACATATATCATCAACAAGATTCGCATCAAATGGAAACAAATCTACACCAAAAGGAGCAACGAAATCTAAGGTAAGCAAGAAAAACAGATAGAACAATCAAATCATTTAGGGGAAAAGTGAGAAACAGCAAAAGAGTAGTTTGCATCTCATGAACTGATGCGAGAGACAAAAGAGTCTTGAGAGAAGGAGATATGTAAGCGATTGAAAGAGGGAGGACTCTTAGTTATTCAGTCGTTTTCCTTCTAGGGCCACTCTAAAAGTCTTCCACCTCAACATGAAAAACTTTAGCTTGCTCCCCTACAAAGCACTAGTCATATGGTCAAGGATAGTTAGGAAATAATAGTGACAAATAAAACAAGATGAATAAGATAGTGTTATAATATATCCTTGTGATCCAAACAACCAACGCAAGAAGAAAAAACTTTAACTTGTTCCCCTAGCAAGCACTAGTGAAGGGGTTAAGAGGGTTACAAAATAATGATGACAATTGACAACAATGAGTAAGATACAGGTCACACTATATCCTCGTAATCCAAACAAGCAACGGACCCAGCAGTAAGATAATGTGTGGTTTTCATGAATTCAGCATGGAAAAGGAAATGACAACTCAATGGTAGGTTAAACAATTCTTTTGTAAAAAATTCGGGTAACGTTTATAAAGCAAGTGCTTTTGTTACCAAAGAGCAAATTCAGCAGACAAAAACATGGAGAGTAATGGCTAGGTTACTATACAATTTTGCTCTAGCATAGAGTCTTTGGATGATAGATGGTGAATTCTATGCATCAGCAAAGAGAAGTTGTCCATCAAAAAGCTCGATGAGACAAGGATCTAATGTGTCCAACCATAAGGCTTTAAAGGTAACTGCCCAAGTATCCCTTGTCTGTGATTGCTTAGTAACTTCCATGCAAGGGCGGAGCCAAAAAGAAATCTTAGTGGGGGCAAAAATAATACTAAATTTTTTTTATTTACTCTTTTTCTAGTTTTTTCAGCAAAAAAATAAGTAAATTCACCAACAAGTACAAATGATACCTATAATCCATGAAAAACGTAAAAAAATAAACTCAAAATTATTAATGTAATAATAATTTTATTTCAAAAGCAAACTAAACTATTTACAATTGCTCACGACGAGTTTTCATATTTTGATAACGGTTTACAACTTTTTCATTTTGAGCTTCACGAAGTATATTTTTCTCAATATAAGTAACTAAACAATCATTCATCCAAGTGTCTCTCATTCTATTTCGTAACTGATTCTTCACTATATTCATAGCTGAAAAAGCCCTTTCTACTATAGCTGTAACAACAGGCAAAATCAAAGCTAACTTTAAGAGCATATAAACCAATGGATACACACAGGGGTGGAGTCAGAAAGAAATCTTAGTGGGGGCAAAAATAATACTAAATTTTTTTTATTTACTCTTTTTCTAGTTTTTTCAGCAAAAAAATAAATAAATTCACCAACAAGTACAAATGATACCTATAATCCATGAAAAACGTAAAAAAATAAACTCAAAATTATTAATGTAATAATAATTTTATTTCTAAAGCAAACTAAACTATTTACAATTGCTCACGACGAGTTTTCATATTTTGATAACGGTTTACAACTTTCTCATTTTGAACTTCACGAAGTATATTTTTCTCAATATAAGTAACTAAACAATCATTCATCCAAGTGTCTCCCATTCTATTTCGTAACCGATTCTTCACTATATTCATAATTGAAAAAGCCCTTTCTACTGTAACTGTAGCAACAGGCAAAATCAAAGCTAACTTTAAGAGCATATAAACCAATGGATACACAATATCTCTCTTAGTCTCTACCAACCTTTGAGCTAGATCAGAGATATTTCTTAAATCGAGAAATTCCTTAGCTGATTTCAAGTCATTAATATAAGTATCCAATTCAATGTCAAGTGCAAGAATATTCAACTTAGAAAATTCACAAGGATAATGTTCTGCAAGACGAATCTACTTTTTCTTATCAAATGCTGCAAAGGAATCACTTGGGTTCAAGCATGCCATACAAGAATAATTTAAAAGTTAAAATATATGTCAAATGGCCCTCTATTCATCATTACATTAACTCCAATTTAAGAAACTAATCAAGGAAAATAAAAATAAATTATATATCCATAATCCATAAAAGCACCATTTCACAAGTTAAAATATTTATCAAATAACCCATTTATTAGTTGTTACATTAACTAATCAGTTTTCAAATTTATTTAAAACAGTAATAGTCTCATGCTCTAGAAATATATTTGCCAACAAATTTAAAATAATAATAAGAAGAAGTAATTGTTTAGAAGTTAGAACCTGATTTTGATGGTCAGATGGTCTTCTAAAATTGGTGGAAAGAATTGCAAATCAGTGGCAGAGTTGTAGATGGTCTCCCGATTATGGCTCCGTTGGAGTCTTGAGGGGAAAATATGAAACCAGAAATTAGAGGACTAAATTGGGAATAAGAAACCAGAGGACTAAATTGGGAAGGAAAATTGGGAATAAGAAACCAGAGGACTAAATGACGGAGAAAGGAAAATGGACTAAATGACGGAGGAAGAAAATTGGGAATAAGAAACCAGAAGACGAAATGACGGAAGAAGGAAAATAGGAACCAAGAAAGAGACGTCGGGTGTGGAATAAGAAAGGTGGGAAGTGACCAAGTGGGGACAAAAAAAGTGGGACCAATAAATTGTGTATTAAGAAAGAGAACTGTCGGTGGTTGTGGCCTGTGGGGGGACAAATTGGAACAGAGTAGAAAATAAAATTTGGGAAGTGGCCAAATGGGGACATAGTCAAAACTAAATTAAATATGTATATATATTATAAGGATTTAAGGGGGGCAGTGGGGGCCCGTGCCTCCAGTGCCCGCACCTTAGCCCCTGCTTCCATGTGTAGTACTTTCATCCAGTTGTCTGAAAAATTTGAGTGTATATTAAAGCATCCTGCCCATTTGGCTGCTATTAAGGAATAGCAATGACAATCACTATGGTAGAACCCCTAAAGGGAAAAGAGTCCCAATGGCCCTCCAACTCTTACTCAGGTAAAGTTTTGGCCCTCCAACAATTAAAGATAAATTTTTGACCCTCGATCTAACAAAGTAGCATATTAGTGGCCCTTCTGTCAAATCTAGCAGTTAACTATGACGGGAAACTTCATCTCGCGAGACGCGCCACCAAATATGAAGGGCACTATAGTCTATTTGCCAAGACAGAGACTAGGGTTTTACATCAGAATTGTTCAAACCAACAGCGACGTGGCGTCCATCGGGAGCCCACTTAACACTCGTCACGGGGCCATTTTCTTCATCAACCGTGACGAGCTCTGAGGTAGCTCCGTCAGTTGCATCCCACAAATACACTGTGCTTCCAAGGGCAATTGAAAGAACATTGCTGCTGCCCCAGTCTAGCAGATTCAAGTAGTAATCATCCAAAATATCAAGCGCATCCAGAGTTCTTTCTGAAGTCTGTAAAAAAAAAAGAATATAGACCACAGCAGGAGAAGAGAACAATTAATTATTCGAGGAATTAAAAAAGAAATACTCCTCAACAGCTGAAATCTGAAATCAATTCACAAAGTTACAGGTGAAATACCAACCTGGGGGATGTAACGACGGGATTTGGTGGGCTTGGAGTTGTTGGCAGCTGTCGAGAAGTCAGCAGGGATAGGGTCGACAGGGGTAGGTGGCTTGTTCTTGAAATCAAGGATCCTGGTCCTGTTCATGTTGAAGGTCTCCGCAAGCTGCTTCCGATAAGCCTCCCGAGAAGGCGAGCTCAGGGTTGGGTTTTCCTTACCTTTCCTACCTTCTGTGAGCATGTAATGAGCATAGTCGAAATCCATTGCAGATCAATTGGGTACAAACCTATCCAACTGTCACGGAAACAAAAGCTTTTAAGATGGCCCTAGGGTTTTACAGCAAAGGGGGTGAAAATTGTTGGAGAAAAAATTGTTGGTGAAACTGTTTTTATTCTGTCTTGGCAAAGAGACTATAGTGCCCTTCATATTTGGTGGCGCATCTCGCGAGATGAAGCTTCCTGTCATAGTTAACGGCTGGATTTGACAGAAGGGCCACTAATATGCTACTTTGTTAGATCGAGGGCCAAAAATTTATCTTTAATTGTTGGAGGGTCAAAACTTTACTTGAGTAAGAGTTGGAGGGCCATTGGGACTCTTTCCCCACCCCTAAATGATAATGAATTTGTGAAGATTCTTTTGATGAAATCTTGTGTTTGGTAACCACTACAATGGGAATGACTTTTTGAATTAAAAAAATATAAAATTATTATCCTTTTCCTTCTTTCTCTTTATCTCTAGGGTCCAGCAATGGTTTAACGGCCACCAACCACTACCACCATTTATTTTTGGTTTTTGCTTCCTTCCTCATGATTTCTTGCCATGCTGCCAATTAATTTCCCAATCTTTTTTGTTTGCTTTCCCATAGTTGTTCCTTTTCCTTCTTCTTCTTTATTTTTATTTTTATTTTTTGGTTTTGTTGGTCCTCTTCACCGATAGTGCCGTTGCCATGGCCACCATTACCGCTATCACTACTGCCAATGCCTTCACCACAATCAGACCCGACGATCTCTGGTATCACCGACACCAATTCAACAAATTTTAACTTAAAAATTATTACTAAAAATAAATACAAAAAGTCTTATCACACCATAACCTCTTATGAGAGAGAAAAGGGGACAAATTTCATGGGAGAGAGAGAGGAAGAAAGAATATAGGAGAGAGAGATTGGGATGAAGAGAGGTGGGGGGAAAGTGGGAGAGGTGGAGCTAGAAGGGAGAAATTGCAGATTAGATGCTGCAGTCGCCGTTTTCCTTTCCTATTTTTTGTTTGTTTTTGTTTTATTTGTTTATCTTGATCGGTAATGGGAGGGACAGTGCCGAAATTAGTGGGTAATGGATTTTGGATAATGGAAGACCCAAAAGTTGATAATGAAATAGCCATAGTTGTGTACCAAACACCATCAATGATAATCATTATTCGCTCATTCCCATTGAGGGGTGCAAAACCACCCAACCAAACGGGCTGTAATTTACATTGAACGGTTTAACACATTTTTTTCTTTTTGCCCGGTAGCTTGAAAAGACAAAGTCGTCAAACAGGCAATTTGTCAGTACGAGTTTCACAAAGAAGAGGAGACAATACCACAGTTTAAAGAGCATATTCTAATATATTAGACAAGTTAATAAGTGTAGCTTTCAAATAATGTCCTCTACACTTTTTTGGTAAATGTCAAGAAATTAATATTATATTATAGATACCTTTAAGGAAACAAATTCCTAGATCCTGGTAGCATGGTGGATATTATCATTTATCATGCAAAGAGTACTTATTGGCATTCAACTTGCTATAGATTCATATACTTATGGCAGGTTCATATTCTACTATTATGCATGGCTTTTGTGTTAAATTATCCTGCCTATGTAAATGTCGCAGCACTTAGGATACCATTTTCATTTTATTTTTCATGTTTTGACTCTTTCTTCTTTCTCTTATTCTCCATTGCAATGTCCCTCTTGCTCTCTGTATCTAGGTTCTTATATTCCTCTCCTCACAAGTACTACCTTCCTCCGTAAAAGAAAGTTAAGGAAAATTCATTCAAAAATTCAAGTTATTTCTGTTCAAATTGGATATGGCTGGCACCTAGGATCTATAAGGGAAAGAAACCAATCAACAAGTGAAGCTGCAATTATCTCTGCTTATTTTGTTCTAAATTATTACTGAAAGTTGCTTTTTTTTTCCCTCGTGTTGGTTCAATTTCATTCTATGCGTTAGATATTCTGAGGATTTCCTTGGTTGATAGTTCTTGAATATTTCCTTTTCCTATATCATGTAATAGTTCTTGAACTTTTAAAAAAATTTCTTTTTTTTTTTTTACTTTGCTTTGATCAGATTTGGTTTTATGCCAATTTTTTTTGGGAATTTTACATGATTTTCTTTAAATTAGGATTCATAAAATCTTCATGGATTTGGTATTAGGGAAGACCAAAGTGCTTGCTACAGTTTACGTGCCAAAGATTGGGAGAACGAAAATGAATACCTGGAAAAGGCTGGCTTTGGGGTCATTTGGAAGCCAAAAATAAGGCAAATAGGCAAGGATTCCTCTATCTTTTTTTTCACTTAGTTTCTGTTGATTAATGAAGATACACACACTTAGTTGTATAAATTTGATCAATGATCGAGGAAATAGGAAAAAGAATGTGAGATGACATTGAAGCAGACTTTGCGAGGTTTCTGCCTTTCGAATGTTCGTCCAAATATTGTCAAGTGATAATGTGAATTAGGCAAGTCAGTAGTCACTATGAATGACATGGTTGATTTTTACATTGGATGCATTTGATACTACTATTTGGAAATGATTTCGATGTTGTAATAGGGCCTTTGGACAATGACAATGGGCAGACACTAATGAAGTTGCCATAAGTGATAAGCAAAGTGAAATTTCATATTCTTGAGTTAGCCGAAATGATAGAATTGATGTCCTGTCTCTCTGCTAACTCAGTTCAAACCTCTCCTAGGGATCTGGCTGTCGCACGGGTTGCATCGGACGGGATAATGGACTTCATCTATTTAAACAAATTTAGTGAATTTTATCGAGCATAATATTTGTTGGCTAGAAACGTTTTGAGCATATTAACATCTGGTGGGCAAGCATGGGTAAGAGGCACCCGAAATTACAGAATTGTACCTTTGAGTGTTCATTTGGTATGATACCTTCTTATTCTCACAAAACTTCTTAAAAGCTGAATAACCTTCTTCCTCTTTCTGATATTTTGACCCAAAAAAAATGTCTACCTTTTCTGGTTGTTTAGTGTCTTCATGTTTTTTAAACATTCTACAAATTCAGTGAATTGGTAAGTTACAGCTATGGATTCAAACTCGGTAGCTTTATGGAAGTAGTACGGTGATCATTGTTTGGCTTCTTTACCTTGATTGTAATAGCTTCTTGTCTCCTTCAGGTTTTAAGTGTCATTAATATCTTTTGAGTGTTAATATTTTTTCTATATCGTTTTGATTCTTAGCATAATTGACATCTAGAGCATGGATTTTAATTATATTTTCTCTATACTTATGATTTCATTGGTGGATGAGTTCAGGAAAAAGAAAATGGCTGCTGAAGAAGAACTTCCTTTGAAGCTTTGATACAATTATATATGGAAGAGAAGAATGACAGTGGAATGTCTTCATCATTTCATGCATCCATCGAGAGGGTTTTGTGGTGGTACTAAAAAGCATGTACAGTCATTTATGAAGTCGGATTCATTCAATTAATTTCCAACTATGTAAAGTCTGTTCGTGTACTTTAGCATAAGCTCATTCTATTTTAGTATCATCCCCAATTTGTCCCTCATAAGTAAGTTACACTCTCAACAAATCAGAGCACCCATGTAGGCAAGTTCACACATTGTGCTACCCAAAAAACTAGTGTATATATATATGTATGAAGTGCTAACTTGGTACTTCTTGTGAGCAGACCTACAATTATTGTGAACATGAATACATGAAACCAATTAATTGATGAACTGATTAAATTATGCGATAATATCATAAACCTTTCCTGAGGTTTCTCATCACTTATTTTCCTTACTTTTGTTGTTTGTGTAACAAAATTTTTAAAAATTCTAAACTACACTTTTGCTAATTTTAGTAAATGAAAAATACTCCTAAACCACGTTGTTTACTTCAATAAAAACCGCAACCTAAAATACAATCTCTTGTAGTAATACCACATCACAAAACTATATTCTATATAAATATAAATTTGAAAAATAAAAAAGATATTTGAAACGAAATACACTAGTACAAATTAAACTCTATATGCTCAAAATTGATTTTGTTATAAATCTTATTTTTTTTCCCAACCTCTTCTCAACTCATGATATAAACCTTTAAGTTGCACATATCACAATAAAAACTTATTCAAAATAAACAAAAAAATCATACCCCACTTATTATAATCATAAAAAGAAAAGGGCAAAAAAATCTAATTTACAAATAAAAAATTACATAGTCATCAAAAAAATGAGTAAGAGAAGAAGGTGAATTTTTTCTTTTCTTTAATTTTTTGAGCTCTATTTATTTGATATGTAAATTACGTATCCAGTGAGGGTTCTTAATATAGTCATTTGCAATTATGAGGGAAGGTAAGTGATATTTTTACAACTTCGAGCCTGTTACGTGATATTAGGAGAAACCTTGGAGCAGTTTCTGATATTTTCACTTAAACTATACTAATAATAATCAGGAAAAAAAGGGAAAAAAAAACCGCAACATAAGGGAGTACTCTACGCAGGACCAAGGTCAAATCTTATAATTTGATTAATGGTTGGATGATTCGATTTTTCGTAGTCATAGACCACGAACCTATTGAGAATTTTATTCTAGTAGGCGGAAAGATCAAGTTCCACTTCTGTCATATATCAAATCTTCATTAATTGTACTACATTTTTTATATATGATCATATAATTACCATGTTAAATTTTCTTTAACCTTTTACTTTCTTCTTTTGCTCTATAGCATGAGATGAACTTCCTTTTTGGATGAATAGATCTATTACGTGTGTGAAATCAACACCAATATTGGTAAATGAGCAACAAAATCAAAGATCATAACTAACTACTCTCTAAGGCTGCAATTCAGCATAACTTGAGCTCAAAATGCAATTTCATTCTTTGTATTTCTCTAAGCTGGGAGATACTTGACCAAAATAATTATCGAATAATTTTGGAAACCTCCCTTAACGTTTCTCATAATATCACCTAGCACCTCTGAAGTTTTCAAAATCATAATTACTTACCTTCCTTGTGGGTTTGATAAGACTGTATGTTCCCTTTAAAGGTTACAAATTGATAATATTACCCTTACAATTTGAATAACTTTTTACTCATAAAGCTAAATATGTTTAAATCAACAAATCTATTGTTAAAAAAAAAGTCAAATTGATCACTCTTACCATACTATAAAAACTGTAGATTGATACATTTAGACACTCTTATCATATTTTAAAAATTATAGATTAATATATTTTAACACTCTTTTTCTATAGCGACCAATTTCAAAAACTTTTTTGAAGGAAGTATATTATAATAGATGATGTTATTTAAG